AAATAATAATATTGGTTCGCCTTCAATGCAGAATTGTATTTTGTTGCAGACAATTGGAACCCGTGAGCGGAACATCAATATACTCAAGATCTACGACCTCAATTGCTGGGTGCACCTCTTTTTTGGCGCCGCTTTGCAGAGCTCACTCAGGACATGCGGCAAGGTGAGCAAAAAGAATTTGCTCTAATATTGAAGAAAATTGGCGTTGCAGAACCACTTGCGGACATCGCGAGGAAAATGCTAGAATCTCGAATGATAACGATAAATAATTTTCAAGTGCCTCAATGCTGTCTGAAAATTTAAAAGAAACAAAGATGTAGCTAGTTATAACATGCAGAAATTACTGGAAAACCCGCGCGAGAAGATTATTCCTCTTCCGGCTCGAGACCATGTAGAGAAAAATCGTGAATATCTTAATCCGGGAACAGAACTATCTCTCCGCAAGCGCGAGGTACCCGCAGACTATCTCTTGGAAGAGGCCCGAGGACTCACCACTCAGCAAGCGCGGGGATTGCTCTCCAATCTGCTGGCAGCAGTAGGTTTCCCATACATGCTCACTTTAAACATTCACACGTCTGACGGCCTGGTCAAGGGGGCAGTGGGCACACTGGCCTGGATAGAAGTTGGGCGACTAGTGCCTCCTGCTTCTGACCACGCCAACGCCGGACAGATTGCGGTGAGCGGTGCGGAAAGCCTGCGTGCTGTACGAAGATTGTGATTGTGGCTGCGTTTCCCGGGCAGTACGGGAAGGGGTACTTTTGAAATGACTGATAGAAAGTGCCAGAAGTGTGTGAAGTCATGAGAAGGGCCGCTAACACGTGCGAAGTCTCATGGCCAAGGCCGGAAGTCTCACGTCTGTCTCATGTCTGGAGACATGAGACTTCCGGCCTTCAGACATGAGACTTTGCCCCTGTTGCCCCTCCGACCAAGCTCATGTCCATCGTCCGTCTCAGGTCCAGTCGCAGGTTTTCTAGTCTCTGTCCTGTCCAGTATAGCCTCATGTACCCCCAGCCAGGTTTCGTTCAAAGCTATTTCTCGAAGAAAAGGAAACCGTCAAAGTTGAACGGTTTAGGGGCCGGGCCGAGTGCAACGTACCAAGTACCAAGTGTTCGCACCCTGCTGGCCGGGTGGCGCCGGGATGGCCAACCGTATTACAGGAAATGCATTACGGGCACGGACAGAGAAGGGACAAGTGTCATTTCCGTCAGCGAAAGCTTAAAGCATTTGCTGACACATAGCCCTGCATTTCATATAGATGGCCACTTGAGGATGGCGCCAAATGTAAAAGGAGTGTACCAGATACTTACAATGATGCCTGTAGCTTTCCACGGTGAGAAAGAAGTGGTTGTGGCTTCACTGAATAGTAAAAGGGAAGGGGGGCAACATTGTGGGGGCTGTCACGGAGGTGTTTGGCAAGAAGAAGCACATCAGCTGCTTCGCTCACTGTACCCGCATGATTGTTTGGCCTATACCCACATCGTTTGACATAATTACCAAGGAAAAGAGTACTAAGACAGAGTGGGACAAGCAGATTAAGAAGATGGGATTTAGAGACCCGGTAAAAAATTCCAGACGGCCTGATTGGCGATGAAGAGCTGCTTGAGATCAAGTGCCCAACAAGTGGCGTAGACTTCGAATCAGCTGAGGTAGCTGTCAGGGA